TTCTTATGCATATGCCCTCTCTGCTCATCAGCTGGACGCTTCCTTAGTGTAGGATTTTGAATAATTTGCATTCTTCAGAACAGTGAAGCTTTTGTTATGGCCCATTAGTGGAAACTTATGTCCGTGTGCAGGGGAGGCAGGATGCTATAGAAGCAAAGGACTCTTCTTCAGAAAAGAACATTTATAACTGTAAAATTAAAGTGGGAGCATAAATAGAATTGTTCACAGCCCAAGACTGAAGTTAAACTAGGACCTCATGGATTTCAGATAAGCCCCAGTGTCCGTTTTTCTTTGGGAAGTAAAGGGGAAGCCAACTGAGGGTGTCACAATACTGTGGGCTTGGCCCTACATTGAGGGCAATGTTTCATTTGTTATGTAGACAAGTGGGGTATACAGCGTGGGACTTTATAGATTAGTGGGGAATGAAGGAAGGTGTTAACTGATCTCCAATTGACTAAAAAATTCAATAAACTTACTTGGAATGATTAAAAAGAGAAGAATTTAGTAGTATGTATATCTAACCTTAAGATCTTTTTTCTTTTCATTGTAGACAATATTCGTGGCTATTTTGGGGAGACGATTGCTCTTTACTTTGGATTTTTGGAATATTTCACTTTTGCCTTAATTCCCATGGCCATCATTGGATTGCCTTACTACATGTTTGTGTGGGAAGACTATGACAAATATGTGATCTTCGCCTCATTCAACCTGATCTGGTCCACAGTCATTTTGGAGGTGTGGAAGCGTGGCTGTGCCAGCATGACCTACAGGTGGGGCACGCTGGTCATGAAGAGGCAGTTTGAAGAGCCCCGACCAGGATTTCATGGGGTCCTGGGTATCAACCCTGTCACTGGCAGGGAGGAACCTCTCTATCCCAGTTACAAGAGACAAATGCGCATTTACCTGGTCTCTCTGCCCTTTGTGTGCCTCTGTCTCTATTTCTCTCTGTATGTCATGATGATTTACTTCGACATGGAGGACTGGGTCTTAGGGCTGCATGAGAACAGTGAGTCTGAGTGGACCAGTATCTTGTTGTATGTGCCCAGCATCATCTATGCCATTGTGATTGAGATCATGAACCACCTCTATCGATATGCTGCCGAATTTCTAACTGCATGGGGTAAGACTTAAAGCATTGTATTCATGTCTTACTTGCCTGTGAGAAATATTGTTTAAATTGTGGGATTCACCTATCTGTTACCTTGCAAAGAAGATAGTGTTGTTTTGGGCCTAATATAGAGACATAAGCAAAGTTCACTGGTTCTGTGAATTCTGATCTTCTTCATACCATGCATACCATCATGTATTGAGTGCTAGCTATTATGTTCTAAGTGCCCTGTAAGCACTTTGTCTATAGTATCTCATTTCCATCGCCTAAGGGCGACATGAAATAGAACTTATTTTGCCATTTTACAGATAAATATTCAGAGGCTTACCAGGCTTCAGAACTCAGATCATGTTCCTCTTATGTCATGTCTCATGAATGATGGTGGTGGTTTTCGTTAGGTGCCGTTGAGTCGGTTCCATTTCATAGCGACCCTGTATAGTGTTTCCGAGGAGTGACTGTTGAATTTGAAGCGCTGACTTTGTGGTTCAAACCGACCTTATGGTTGAGAGCTTATCCTACAATACCACACCAGCAAATGGTTGTTGTTAAGTGCTGCTGAATTGGTTCTGACCCATAGCAGCCCTGTATAGGGTTTCCTAGGAGCAGCTGGTGAGCTTGAACCACCGACCTTGGTTTCAAACCAGCTTTGTAGTCCAGCGCATTAACCCACAGCGCCACACCAGGACTCCCAGTGAATGGTGAGCCAGGCTAATCCAGAACTTTCTGTATCCAGAACTTGTGCTCCAGATACTGTATCTTATGCTGAGAGTAGAGTAGATTGAAATTACCTTCTTGATACTGAGTGAACTATAGCTAGTGTTTTGTAACTGATTGTTTAGTGGGTGTGGACCACTGAGGACCACCATTACACTCTGTGAAGGTGACATGCATCAGTGGTCAAAAAGGAGCTTGGCAATAGTATTTTTTTTTAAAGCCATTCACTATTATTTATTCATTCAAACAAACAAGCAAATATACTGTATTAGTCTCTAGAAAATAGTCTAGGCTTTAACTTCATGGATCCTGAAGATGTTTTAAATTATTTTTACTAATTGTGGAATAACAGCTCTCTTTTATTGAGTGATTTCTTTCTGGAGATATTGGGCTAAGGTTTTATATTATTTCTAATCATTGCAACAACACTAGGAGAAGGATGATGTCAGCACTGTTTGTAGGTGAGGATGCTAAGTATTAGGAAGGCAAGTCCACTTGCCCAAGGTCAGACAGTGGCAGAGGAGCTGAGTTAGGATTCAAATCCACTTGTCCTCTGTTCAAGATCACACTTCTCTTGAGAATTTTCTTTATTGTCCTTGGCTTTGTTTTGAAATCTACATAGTGTCTCCTTTTCCTACATGAAGATAGAAATTTGAGTTTCCCTTGAAGTTAATCCGGGTAAGCCACATGTACAGAAAACGATTTATTCCCCTACTCATTAGAGATTACTCGTCAGTTTTTCCTCTGACATCTTATACAAGGTCTGTTTTGGGATGTGGTGTATGGGATCATTTGCCAACATCTCCCAGATTTTTTCTGTAGCAGTAATGTTTGAAAAATAAGTCAGAACACAATGTTAATTGCAGTGCAGTGAAAACATGTGCACTGAATTTACCCTCTTTCTTTCCTGTTTGATGTTCTTGATAGTAATACTTTCACCAAGGCTTTGGCCTCTCAGCATATTCTCTCATTACCTGATGACCATGTTTCCATGGTGTTTTAGTTCCTAAGAGAAATAACTCTCCTTTCTATAATTTTAGAGAACCACAGATTGGAATCTGCCTACCAGAATCATCTAATTTTGAAAGTTTTAGTGGTAAGTATAGTTTTTACATACCACTTTTTAAATATGACACTAGTACATACTATTTAGTACTTAGGAATGTAAAGATGAAGACTTGCATTTAGTTTAAGATTTCAGGTAGTCCGTATATTTTATGACAGTGAGCAAGAAATGATTAACAAATATGTTTGCATATGCATACATTGAAAATTTGCAAATGTACATGTAAGAATTGAATATATAAAAATTACTATTAGACTGTTTTGAATTTTTCACTATTTAACGATCCTTCTCATTACCAAAAATTTGTTTAGTAATGGGACATTAAAACTTAAAAAAAATTTTTTTTTCCAATTTCTGAAGCTACAAGGTCCCCAGAAGGCACACTGTAACCTGCCTGCTATTTGGTTAGAAACTGTCACTGCATGTTTCTGTCTACCGTTATTATAAATAATAATGCAACTGTGATGCAGCTGAAAGTGCCTCATTTATCAGAAAATTACCTTGGCCAATCAAGAAATGATTTATACATGAAATTGATTGAACACAATCTGTGTACCTTTCTTTTGAGTGAGGGCTCTAGATCTTTACTTAGAATCTTTTTTCTAGCATAAAATTTATTCTAAGAAGCTTATTCATAGGTTTTTCAGTCCCTAAAATATCAGAAACCACCCATTTAGAAGGGTGTTTAGGTTGTTAGAAGCAGGCCAACTTACAGAGACAAGAGCTGGTGAGGAATATATAACTTGTCATAAATATTTGTAGGTTATTGGAATTCAATGTTTTTAGAAATTGAGGCAATTAAGAAAAGGGGTAAATAGCAGCAGACATTAAAAAAGACTGAAGACCTCACTGTAGACCTATGAAACCTTTGATATTCGAAAGCTTAATGCTACATCAGGAAGAATGTTCTTTGCTTTGCTTTGTATAAAAAGGCAGGGGAACAGGTGATACATTAAAACCTTTGTTCCAAAAAAGATGGTAATGTAGAGTGTGTAGAGGTAAAAACACCCTCCATTTACTGTGAAGAGTTCAGTTATTTGTGAGACATTATTATTTTTCGACAATGCCAGCTGCAATGTCAGATGACAACCTTGTAAAACGACTCATAAGTTTAAGTCTGTTCTTCCTCCATTGTATTTTTGTACGTTTCTGCTTCTCCCTTTGGACTCCTGGTGTGGCGCTGTAGTATCAGCACTGACGCAGGTCAACCTCACCAGCTGCCTCTTGGAAACCCTGTATAGGGTCGCTATGAGCTGGAATTGACTCTGCGGCACATAACAAGAACATCTCCCTTTTTAATCTTATGGAAATGGCATGTCATAGCCTTCCCAGGCTTTCTGTTCTCCATTTCACAGTCTAATTTAGCACCCTCCCACTCCCATCCTGTGGCTATATTGATCATACTGCTCTCAAGGTCCCTATTTTCTCACTAATCAAGTGCTCACACATGTACACAGAGCAGTCTTTTGACTCAGAAAATGATGTTGCTAAGCAGAACGTAGCCAGTGTGGTGGTTGGAGACAGAAAAGAAGCCCATTTGTATAGAGGGTAGTGGCAGGTTCTTAGTTGGGGAACTGCTTGTAGAAGTGGTTGTTTAAGAAGCATTAATTTAATTTTGGAAGAAAGCATGAGCTGAGAAGCAACAAAGTTCAGGTAGGACACTGTCAGTAATTCAGTGTGAAGTAATTTGATCGAGGGAGGAAAACACAGGTGGTTGTACACACATGGTTGTACGGTTTTGAACCTCAGGGAACTGAGCGAATGCCGTATCAAAAATGAACAACTAAGAGAAGTGGATAATTTATATTTAAGAACTGGTATATATAGTTTCTTATGGCTGTCATAGCAAATTAGCACAGAAAACAAACAAAAATTTTTTTAAGATGGAAATGAATTCTCTCATTGTTCTGGAGTCTGGAAGTTCACTCCCTTTGGAGGCTGTAAGGGAAATTCCATTCTTTGCCTCTTCTGGATTCTGGTGGCTCTTGATACTCTTTGATTTGTGACCATATTACTCTGATTGCCACCACTTGTCTGCCAATTTGTACTGTGGTGGCTGTGTGTTGGTATGATGCTGGAAGCTGTGACACCAGTATTGTGAAAATACCAGCAGGGTCACCTGTGGTGGACAGGTTTCAGCAGATCTTCTAGACTAAGACAGACTAGGAAGAAGGAGAGGCAGACCACTTCTGGATGATTAGCCATTGAAAACCTTATGAATAGCCATAGAACATTGTCAGATATAGTGTCAGAAGATGAGCACCTCAGGTGGGAAGGCACTCTAAATATGACTGAGGAAGAGCTGCCTCCTCAAATCTGAGTTGACCGTAATGACATGAATGGAGCAAAGTTCTTGGGACATTTATTTGCAGATGGAGCACAACTCAAAACGAGAAGAAACAGCTGCAGACATTCATTAATAATTGAAACATGAAATGTATGAAGCATGAATCTAGGAAAAGTGGAAGTCATAAAATATGAAATGGAGCCCATAAAGATCAATATCCCAGGCATTATCTGAAATTGACAGGTATTGCCAATTCTGAATCAGACGTATGGTTACTGTGCTAGGAATAACAAATTGAAGAGGAATGATGTCACATTCATTGTCAAAAAGCATTTCAGGGTCTGTCTTAAAGTGCAATGCTGTCTGTGATAAGATAATATTCATATACCTACAAGGATGGCTGGAGTCCTGGTGTGGCACTGTGGGTTAATGAGCTGGACTGCAAAGCTGGTTTGGACCACAAGATTGGGAGTTCAAGCTCACTAGCTGCTCCTCAGAAACTGTATACAAAGTTGCTATGATTCGGAACTGACTCCACGTCACTTAACAACAACAACAATACCCACATAACTCACCAACCACTAAACCAGTGATGATGACATTGAATAATTCTACCAATTTCTTCAGTCTTTAATTGATCAGACATACAATCAAGATGCATTGGTAATTATTGGTGATTGGAATGCAAAGGTTGGAAACAAAGAGGAAGGATCAGTAGTTGGAAAATATGGCCTTGGTGATAGAAATGATGCTGAAGATCGCATGATAGAATTTTGCAAGACCAATGACATATTCATGGCAAATACCTTTCTTCAGCATCTTAAGAGATGATTATGGACCTCACCACATAGAATACACAGGAACTAAATTGACTACTTCTGTGGGAAGAGACCCTAGAGAAACTCCTTATCATCAACCAAAACAAGGCCAAGGCAGACTGCAAAACAGACCATCAATTGCGCATATGAAAGTTCAGGCTGAAACTGAAGAAAAAACAAGTCCAGAGAGCCACAATATGACCTTGAACATATCCCACCGGAATTTAGAGAGCATCTCAAGAACAGATCTATTATACTAGACAATGATGACCGAATACCAGAAGAATTGTGGGATGACATTAAAAATGTCATACATGCATAAAGCAATGAGTCACTAAAAATATAGGAAAGAAAGAAAAGACAAAGGTAGATATCAGAAGAGACTCTGAAACTATGGACCGTTTATCCTGGCAGAGTCTTTGCCAGTCCTACCTGACAATTTCCGTATTTCTTGATGGGATGGCCTTATCAGGCCTATAGAAGAAGGAGTACTTCCCTTGGCTGCTTATTAGTGGTGGTGGTGGTGTTAAGTGCTGTCAAGTCAGTTCTGACTCATAGTGACCCTGTATAGGATTTCTGAAGCTTTAAATTTTCACAGGGGCAGAAAGCCTCATCTTTCTCCTAAGGAGTGGCTGGTGGACTCAAACCAAGGACCTTGTGGTTCACAGTCCAGTGCTTACTGTATGGAGCCACCGCACACTCTTATTGTTGGTGGTGGTTGTTGTTGTTAAGTGTCACTGAGTCAGTGTGCCTCTTAGTGATCCCGTATAGGGTTTCTGAGGAGCGATTGGTGAGCCTGAACCACCAACTTCGCGGTTCAAACCAACCTTGCAGTCCAGCACCTTAACTCCTAGTGCCACACCAGGATTTATCCCCCTTGTTGGTTCTTTTAGGTTTCCCTGGTGGTGTTGGTGGGACGTAGGTTTGATCTGGAGCAGGAATGAGACTACCTGGGCTACCTGGGTTACTTGGCAGGGGTTAAGAAATGCTGCACCTTGTTCTCCTTCTGTTGGGTGGGGAAGACAGTGAAATACTCTGGAGCTGTATTATTGCTTCACTCTAGGGGTGCCATGCCACTTTGCTTTCCTCCTACCACCTTTTGGTCTCCTTGCCTGGTCTCTTATGCTGTTTTTAAAGCATATAGTTTGACTTAGTTGGGGGTACCTGGAAGAAATCCATCCACACTTTTTCAAGTCCCTCATTACATACTTAAATGTTATATTCATACTTGCAATAAAATACCACAAAGGAACATTAAGTACTCTTACCTTTTTTTGGCAGTTCAACTTTCTAAACTGTTTCGCCTCACTCTTCTACATTGCCTTTGTCCTGAAGGATATGAAGCTTTTGCGTCAGGTGAGTATGAATAACAGAAAAGTCAATTTCTAGATTTTAGAGATTTTTTTATACTTTGTGTACTTTTAGGGCAAATTTAAAGAGCCCTGCTAGCATAATGGGTTACATGTGTTGGTCTACTAACCACAAGGTCAACAGTTCAAATCCACTCAGCTGCTCTGCGGGAGAACGATGAGGCTTTATATTCTCATAAAGATATACAGCCTTAGAAACCCTATACAGGGTTGCTGTGAATCGGAACTGACTCGATGGCATGCAGCAGCAGCAAGACTAATTCTAAAACAACCAAACAAAACGCATTAGCAATTACACCGGGCATCTTAACTCAAATGAAAAGAAATGACTTGAAGCTAGTCAACTTGCAACATTAATCATATAGGGCAATAAAGTCAATTATATCATCCATTTTCAGGCTTAAAAAAGCAAGGCTGATAGTCACAATTTATTCATTAATTCAGCCATTTGTATGTGTGTTATTATGTGGAACCTTAAATACCATTCTAATAGCTAGCTTTCCCAGTATTTAGCTTTAATAATATTATAGTATGTTGGTTGTTGTTTTTTTTTAAGATTTGATGTTATTTATTGCATGATTGTATATATGCTTTGGTTTTATTAAGCTTTATTACAAAATATATATATATATAATTTTCTTTAGAGCTTGGCCACTCTCCTGATTACCTCGCAGATCATTAACCAAGTTGTAGAGTCTTTACTTCCTTATTGGCTTCAAAAAAAGCATGGTGTCCAAGTGAAGAGGAAGCTTCAGGCTTTAAAGGCAAATGTTGATGCTACATTATATGAGCAAGTCATGTTGGAAAAAGAAATGTCCACCTATTTGGTAAGTTTGAACATTGCTTAATTAAACATTTAGTAAAATTCAGTGACAATTGTGGCTAGAGAGTGCATTGTACACTTCTTATCTCAGCCTTGACTATTTTATTAGTGCTTTCCAGCTAGTTTTCTTATTGTGAGTCACCTTAAAATTAACAGTGCAATTGTGCGTTGAAATATGTCTATCTTGAATTTGAAATTATGCCTAACAACCTCATGTGTCAAGCTTGGTGAATTGTGTGGCTGCTTTGCTAGAGGGTAGTGAGAATATATTGCTCAAGAAATAAAGACTCAAGTGAGAGATGGGTCATGGAGGGTGGCAGCATTGTGTACTAGTCATGATTCAAACCCAGGTAGAATGAGTTACTCAAGCAATGAATTGGGACCATTACTGAAAAATGGACTGCCAATCCAAAGGTTCACTTTTAGTTTAAACAACTTGTTGTTTAGCGCTATTGAGTTGGTTCCGACTTATAACCACCCTGTATAGGCTAAAGTCTTTGCAGGAGCAAAAAACCTCATCTTTCTTCTGCAGAGCAGCTGGTGGACTTGAACTGCTAATCTTGTGATTCTCAGTCCAGTGCTTCTCCTCTAGAGCCACCACACTGCTGTTACATAACTTAATTGCTGTTGTAAATATAAAGCAGTTTCTGTAACACAGATAATTTCAGAATTATTTTTAGGAACTGCAAAACAGACCATTTAGAGGCTTGGCCACTTAACAATATTTGAAAAATCTAGCTCATAAAATCTGATATATTCACCACACTTTTATCGAGCTGTATGTTCACTATGTCTATATTTTTAGAGGCTGTTTTAGGGTCTTACTTGTTTCAGAGCATTGTTTCTTACATCCTTCTTTCTTGGTATGTTATTTTTCTTAAATGGAGTCCTGGTGTGGCGCTGCAGTATAATGCACTGGACCTCAAGGTCAGTTTGCACCATAAGGTTGGCAGTTCAAACTCACCAGCTGCAACTCAGAAACCTTATCCAGGGTCACTCTGAGTTGGACCTGAGCCTATGGCTCTTAACAACAGCAACAACAATTGTGGTAAAAAGTGTGTCTTCTCACACACTCCATGTGTGAGTTTAGGGGATTATCCTGATAGATCTACTCTAACATGCCAACTTCCCAGAGTTTTTGAATTCCTTCTTCTATAGAATGCCAAGGCAGGTCTGGTACTTGAACTGCACAATCCATGCATCAGTGAACCAAATAAATTGTTTTATCATCTACTAACTATAGTCATGAATCATCTGCAGATGAGCTCACTGACTTCTCAGAAGGTCAGGATAAGCACGATGATAACAGTGATGATCCCCCCATTCCTCCATCAGTTTGTCGTACTACGGTGGCTTGTGTGTTGCTGTGATTTGGGAAGCTTTGCCACAGGTATTTTAAATAGCAGCAGACACGTTTCAGCTGAGCTTTTGGATGAAGACTGACTAGGAAGAAGAACAAACAGACTACTTCTGAATAATTAGTCCCTGAAAACCTTAAATCTGCTGCACAATATACCTCTTTAAAGTGTTCAAAGGCAAAGATGTCAGTTTGAGGATTATGGTGCACCTGACCCAAGCCGTGGTATTTTCAATAACCTCATAGGCAAGCAAAAGTTGGACAGTGAATAAGGAAGACCATAAAGAATTGATGCATTTGAGCTATAGTTTGGAGAATATTAAAAGTACCATGGACTGCCAAAAGAACAAACAAATCTGTGTTGAAAGAAGTAAAACCAGAATGTTCCCTGGAAGCCAGGATAGTCAGACTTCATCTCATACATTGGACATATTGTCAGGCGGTATCAGTCACTACAGAAGGATATCATGTTTGGTAAGGTGGAGGGTCAGAGTTAAAAAGGAAGACCCCCTATGAGATGGATTAGCCAAGTGGCAGCACCAATGGATTCAGGAGGATGATGGCTAGATAAGCTCTCAAAATACATAGATTTGCTGGGAATCATATCACCAAACTTCCAGAATCTAGGGCCATCTTCAGGCTTCTTACTAGACTAATGTCCAGTGTTCCTGAGCTCAGTAAACTTGCAAGCAGTGTGAGCTGTGTGACAATCCAGCACTGATTTGACTGGGATGGTGCAGAATGATCACCTGCACAGTGAAGCTAGCAGCTTCCATTGTTGTTAAGTGCTGTTGAGTTGGTTACGACTCATAGTGATCGCATGTAGCATTTCTGAAGAGCAGCTGTTGGGTTTGAACTGCCGACCTTGTGGTTTGCAATCCAGTACTTATCCTACAACGCCATACCAGGAGTCTAGTAGCTTTCACTGTTGTTGTTAGTTGCCATATACATTTCCACAGCAAACATCTTGAAAGACGTTCTGGACATTGAAGCCTACATTGCCCCCAGCAGAGTTTCACTCAAAACCTCATGGTGCATTTCAACAGACTTTACTTCAGTTGACTGGAGCACAAGTGTCCACCATGCTTGGTTTGAGAACATCAATCTCCACTTTGCCCATAGGGACAGTGCCAGTGCCAACAATTTTGTAGACATCTTGAGGAGGCAGACTCAGGGGCTTGTTAGTTGGATGAGTTAGTGGCAGGATGCAATTCATAACTTCAAACAGTGTGGTTCCATTGGTGTTGCCATACTTATAGGTGACCTTCCATCCCTTGAACCCAGGAATGTTAGCACTTAGCTGCAGCATATTGTCAGCATTCCAACCAGAAATTGACACAAATGCTACTGTGTCATGGTTGTAGTGAGTTTTCTTAATGTAGGTGTTAACTTCCTTAATAACTTCCTCATATCGCTTTTGGCTGTAGTGTGTCTTAATGGAATCTATTTTGTTTTAACGCCAACATTACAACATTTTACACCCAGTCTGTAAACTAGAAGGGCATACTCATCGATCTGCACATTCTTGGAGACACCAGCTTCAAATTTACCAACCCCAGTAGTGACAATCAGGACAGCACAGTCTGTGGTATTCCTGTAATCATGTTTTTGATAAAGTCTCTATGTCCTGGGGCTTCAACAACAGCACATAGTTCGTGCTAGTCTCAAATTTCCACAGGAAGATGTTAGTGCTCACATTCAATTTTCGGTTTATCACAGACTAGGTATACCCCATCTCAGTAGCTTTCTTCTCAAGCTTTATGTCAATCCTATATATGTAGATCAGCTGATCAGTAGTGGTAGGCTTGTCCAAACACAGTGATGTTGACCAGGTCTTTTCCTTTCCCATTTTGCTTACATTTTCCAGTGGTTTTCATTAACACCTGTATTTTTGCAAAAAAACCCGTTTTTTTTTTGCAAAAGGAAAGAGAAAAAGGTGTCTGGGTTTCTTGTAGTAGTGTTTTGTAATTTCTTCTGTATAAGTCTTTTTTGTTTCTGTGGTTAGCTTTATTTCTAAGTATTTCATCTTTTGGGTGGCACTGTAAATGGAAATGTTTTTGTAATTTCTTTCTTTTTAGAGCTCTCTTTATTAGAGTAAAGGAATCCAACTTATTTTTTTGTTTGTTGTTCTTGTACCCTGCCTCTTTGCTGAATCTTTCACTGATTTACAATAATTATTTTGCTGAGTCTTTGTCTGGTTCTTGTTTGCAGGGAGATGGCTTTCAGTTTCTGTCCATTGAGAGTAATGGTGGCTATTGGTTTTGTATATATGCCTTTCATTATGTTGAGGAATTTCCCTTCTATTCTTCTTTTGCTGAGTGTTTTTATCAGGAATTGGTGTTGTATTTTGTTAAATGTCTTTTATGCATTGATTGATATCCTATCTTTTTCCTTTGTTTTATTATGTGGTGAATTGCATTGGTAGCTTTTATAATATTGAACCATTCCTACATGATGATGATGATGATGATGCTGTTGTTAAGCAACATGGAGTTGGTTCTGACTTATGTAGGGTTTCCAAGGAGTAGCTGGTGGGTTTAAACTGCCAACTTTGTGATTAGCAGTCCAGTGCTTATCCTACAGTACCACACCAGGACTCCTCATACTTGATATGAATTCTACTTGTTCGTGGTGTTTTGTTTTTTTTATTGATATTTTGTTGGATTTTATTGTCTAAGATTTTTTTTTTTTTTTTTGGAGATGTAGGATTATCTATTTTAGAGATTGCTCATTCAAAAAGCTAGGCAAACAATATACATAAGTGATCTGGCTTGGTGTAATCAAGGTGAATCAGGGAATAATGCCTTATATATTTTTTTAAAGTTTTTATTGTGAATTGAGTTATAGTTTACATGGGAAAGCATCAGCTTTACACTCATCCTATCTCATTTCATTGCAATGACTATAATCCTCTCCGTATATCATCATTCAACAGCATTTGCTTCTATTCCCTCTGATTTTTTTTGGATGTACACCAAAGTACTCAGGAATATATAATCATTCAAACAACCAAAGGGATACCCTGAAAGCCAGCCCCCCGGCTGCCAGAACTCAGCCCCTCTCCTTCCTTAAGTCTAGAGTGTCTGGCCGCTCCATCTCTCCACATGATTGTCTCTGATTGGCTAGGCTTTTGTTGCAAGTTTTCGCGTCTATGTTTATGAGGAATAGTGTTCTATAATTTTCTTTTTTAATGATGTCTTTTCCTGGTTTTAGTATCAGGGTTATGGTTGCTTCATAAAGTGAATTTGGGAGCTGTACATCCTTTTTTAAGGAGCTCTGGTAGCATAGTAGTTATGAATCGGGCTGTGAACCTTAAGGTCAGCAGTTTGAATCTATCAGCTGCTCCGTGGGAGAAAGATGAGACTTTCTGCTCCCGTCAAAATTTACAGCCTTGGAAATCCTGTACAGGGTTGCTATGGGTTGGAATCTACTCAGCGGCACTTAACAACAACAGCAACATCCTTTTCTGTATTCTGGAATACTTTGAGTGGAATTGGTTTAAACTTTACTTTGCATGTTTGGGAGTATTCGCCCAGTAAAGCTATCTGGATGATAGCTTTTTTAGGTGGGAGTTTTTAATGAGTTGATAATTTTTTCTTTTGTCATAGGTCTGTTTAAATGTTATGCTTAGATCTTTATTACTTAAG